AAGACAGAAGAGGAGAGAGTTTCAAACAGATCTGTCGATATCACTCAAATTAGTTATACATTTGAAGCCGATGGAAATGGAAACAAATAGGAAACTTCTACTTAGCATCAGGAAGAGACAGTTGACATTTCTAAGTCTTGTTGTGTCCTCTCTCTAAAGAGTCTATGTAGGACTTTTCCGTCTACTATGAGATTAGTAAGAGAGAAGACATTGGAGGAGCAGTCAACCAGACTGTTCATTTCTGTCGAACTCTCGGTTCAAAGGGAATATTTTTGGCGGAGCCTTTGGACTCCGATTACATACAATAAACTGGTCTTGTGCCACGTATAACCCTCGGGATGGGGGCTGTTAAATATAAGAGTCGACCAGACTGTTTACTGTCGCACTCTCTGCCGAGGCAGAGAGGAACACGGACCCGGGGAGGTAGACAAGCCCTGAATCCGTTTATACGGGTTCTAAGGGGATATTTTTTGCCGAGCCTCCTGGCTCAGATAACCCACGCTAAACTTAGCCTTATGCCACATACATCCCTCGTGGGAGCACTGTTAAATATTAACAGTCGAATAGATTGTTCGTTACTTTCGAACTCCCTGCCTCGGTAGAGAGGAACCCGGACGAGGCTTTGCTGCAGGGCAATATTTCGTCCGGCGAGGTAGACAGGCTTTGAACCCGTTTATGCGACTTCTAAGGGAATATTTTTGTCGGAGCCTACGGGCTCGGAGAACCCACAATAAATCGGCCTTGTGCCTCATAGACCCTCGGTGGGTGGAGGCTGTTAAATATTAACAGTCGAATAGATTGAACGCTGGATCAACTGACACACACTAGTCGTGTAATACTCTTCTGTTGTAATTACTCTTTAATATATGATACATCGGTAACACTTGGTTTGTTATTTCTTTAACCATTTCCTTGGTCACAACACTAAGGCATATAATGAGGAATGAGTTCTTTGAAAATATGATACTCACAGAACGGTCTGAAGGTAAGAAGGTCAGAGAAAATAATGCATGAGTTAGTTAATGAGCATGAGCAAATGGATGACGGAATAAGCTTGAGGAGAGATGATAAAAAGAGGAAATTTATCAAGAGCTATAAAGTACAGGAAGTTGTGGAGAATCATGATCGCCTACATCCTGAGAGGACATGGTAAATAATGAAGAAGATGTAGGATATAGAGTTCTCGTTCCGCTGTCCATATCTAGGGATATATTGTATAGATTTTATTTTATTTAATAATGCAGAGATATTACACCCCACTTTTCGCAGATTCCAAGTACACACTGCCCGACCCTCGGAATGAACAGACAGTTACTAAATTCCTGAGCATTTGCTTTAATCCACTCGTGGCATAACTCTGCGTTGGGAACTTCAAGTATTAAACCTAATATAACTAATACGTATGTGCTGAACCAATTCTTTCTGAGAACATCCACAACTCACACAGAGAATGTGTTCCAGGCATCCGTATATCACAAGCCATCCTTCCTTGGACATTACATCAACTTTAATTCCAAGCATCGATACTGTGTGAAAAAAGCGATCTTCGATGCCTACAACGGCTTGCAAAAATAAGAGGTAACTTGCTGGGTGGAACAGGAAAATTGTCCAAATCGTGTAACAGCAAATAATGTTTAATATCTAAAAAACACTACACTAATTGTGTGTCTGTTTTCCAGGTTTTCAGATCAGACGTTTAACCATCTTGATACCATTTGTGGTAAGAATCACTGAAAAACACTATGAGTTATTCAGCTAGAAAAAGAACAGGTTAAAATCGTTTTGTGTCAGCCCTACTGTCTTCTCAAATGAGCAAACAGGAAAGATATCATCTTGGCGTTCAATAATGAAACCAACATTCATACTCTGGCTCCCATCTTCAAAGTCCATCCAAGAAGCATCAGGAGAACGTTGAATGTTTGAAAAAGATGGTATTGTAGAGAGGAAAACTGGATGAGGAGATCACGGCAGGAATAAGGAGCATCATTTAAACTTAGAGCTAAAGCGATCAATTTGAAAAGATCCAACTCAATCCATAAGACGTTTGGCACGTGAGAGAAGAGTTTTGGCTATGACAAGGAGCAGTGAACAAAGAGCAGCGAAAAAACATTTACAAGGAAATCGTACGTGAAACGTCTGATGCACCATGTTACTCCAGGACAGAAGGTTAGAAGGTTTGGGAGGGTGAAGTTGGAAAATTATATATATATATATATATATATATATATATAAACAATTTTTTGTTGTAGAAAATTTAATAATAGCAAGGAATAAGCGAAAAGCGTAATTTACACGGCATTTTAATGTAAATTTGAATAGCTACAAAAACAACCCGTTTCGTCCCTGTCTTATTAAGTTTATTCCTGGGAATTAGACGACCTGAATATATTAACTTCTTGACTATATATATATATATATATATATATATATATATATATATATATATATATATATTTGGATTTTATCCTCCGTGGGTCTTATCCATACGGATTACCTAGTTTTTCATAAACTAAAACACACACACACACACACACACACACACACATATATATATATATATATATATTTATTTGAACTTTATATCAATCCTTTATGAGTTTCCGATCCTTAGCTCTGATTAATTAATGAAGAACAAGGTCATTTTCGTTTATGATCGATTTTCCCTGATTCTTCTGTTAAGCTTGGATAGTAGTAATACATTTTTATTGCTCAAAGTAGAGCCCGAGACTGTTATAAAAACCTCCGAGTATTCCAGTAAGATATCATTATTCATTCCTAAGATACAACAGTTCTACTTTTAATCTACCAATTGGACAATTCTGCTGTTACACGATTTGGACAATTTTTCGTTACACCCGGATGACACATAATAACATGAAATGATCAGCATCAAACGTACCTTTCAGAATAGCAACAACATCTGCACACATAAGATCAGCATCTGCAGGTGTCAAGGAAGAGAATCAAAACATTATTATCGTCTGTCGACCTTACCCCAAGATCTTATTGGATAAGACTTTGTGGTTCTGCTATGGTCCAGGTTAGGACCAAAGAAGAACAACACGAACACAAGAGTAGAAAATAACGAAGGTATATTACACGAAATAATAATACAAGATGTGGAAGGTGTTAGTATGACTGTCAGTCTGGTTTGGAGTGAACAACTATCGGCTCGACTCGATTCGGTATCAAGCCACCCCCCCACGAGGGTTGCATGTGGCACAAGGCCGAGTTTAACGTGGGTTTCCCGAGCCCGTAGGCTCGGCCAAAAATACCCGTAGAACCCGTATAAACGGGATCGGGTTGGTCAACCTCCCCGAACGAGACTCTGCGCTTCGGCGGAGCCTCGTACGGGTTCCTCTCTGCTCAGTTCATTCTGTAGTTATAGGTAAGGACCCATGACAGGTTCATACAACATCTGGACACTATTTAGAATCAGCTCACATTGCCTGCCCGAATTGATATACACCTGAGAAAGACCTTATGGCACACCAGCCAACAACATCAAAGATGAGAATAATAAATCGCGTATAAAAAAAGATATATTATAATGACACATCGTACTCGAATTTGAGACGGCAATCTGTATGTTGCAATTATTACTTCTATGAGTGGCGTTCTTTTAGGACGTTGACTCTCATGGCTGTCCACAATTTACTTTCCTTTGTAGCTCTTCATATATATTTAAATTGTTATACTTGCTTAATTTTAGCATCCCCAATTTGTAATTTGCATGTTGGGCTGTCCCTTTTGCTAACCACTACTATGCTTTCTCTTTTCTTGTGCGGTGGTGTTTCGTCCTTTCTTCTCGCTTTCCTTCACCACATTCTGTAAGCATTCTTGTAGTTCCCTTTCTGTGTATGCTATAAACAATGTGTCATCTGCAAATCTTATCTTGTTAAGATTGTGGATGCCAATAATACATCTTGGTAGGACTTCTAATTCTCTCAGAATCGCTTCACCTTATAGGCTGAATAAGACCAGCAAGAAGACACATCCTTGTTTTACACTCCTTTCTATTTGTGTATATCTACTCTACTCATTTTCTGTCTGTATGCAGGCGGTTTGCTGCAAGTATAGATTCTGGATTATTCTAATATCCTTCCCAAATAAGTCATTATTACGATACAGATATTGCATTTTAGTGACCTTTATTTACTTCAGTATGTTTTTTTTTTTTAATTGTCAATTTTATCCAAAATGTGACTTATGCAATCATCGCCCTGGATATGACGATATACTACATCCGGCAGCCAAGCCTCTGACTGGGAGGTTTTGAAGAGCGTGGAACCATCTCTTAATTGTTATTGTTTCCAGGTCTACCCTGATGATGACTGGAAGCCTCTGGTAGGGTCCCAGCTATAGATAAATAGTGAAATCCCAAACTCGATTCAAACATTATGAAAGTATACAAAATACATTTTTGTAGTAAGAATACCAGCAATACAATATTGGAGAAGGAAGAGAAAAATTACCAGCAATATATATTTGAAAAAATAATCAAATCTCCCAAGAAAATTTAATTTCGGCATTAAATGGCCCATATGAAAAAAAAAAAAAAAATACTAAACCAAGGCAAACACTATGTGGAATTTGTCTTGTAATTAGGAAAACCAACCTTATCTTTGACGAGTATAAATATAAAACATAATTTAAAAGACAATTGTCGATTGAAATACTTTTTTATCTTCGATTAAAACCTAAATGTCTTACAATCTAGCTTAGCTTAATTTATTTACGTTTAAATCTTACCTACACTCTACACGAATAATTTTTGCTCTTACGTTTGTCTTTGTCCGCTAGCATATGTCTTTTTGGTAGTTATTACAAACGTTTTATTTCTTCTCCTTCTTCTGGCTAAGATTTTATTTCGGGATGGAGATGTTTACCGGAAGTTGCGTTTGTTTGTGTTGTGTTTTGCGGATTAGGAGGCTGAAGCCATGATAAAGAAGAAAAGTTGGATACTTTGGCTAATTCTTCGTGGATTATTTTTCTTTCAGCTTCTGGAGCTTTCATTCTTTTTTATACTCCATTCTTACCATTTCTGTGATATTTATTTATTTCTCCATTACTTTCTTTTACTCCATTGTTATAATTTCTGCGATATATATTCTTTCTTTCTTTCTTTCTTTTTTCTTTCTTTCTTTCTTTCTTTTTTTTGCTCCATTCTTATCATTTCGTTTATATACATTTTCTTCATTTTTATCTCTTTCTATTTCATATATTCCATTCTTATCATTTCTCTGCTACATATTTTCTTTCTTTCCTTCTTTTTTTCTTTCTTTTTTCTATATTTATTTCATTCTCTCTTATACTCCATTCTTATCATTTCTGTGATTCAGATTTTCTTTCTTTCTTTCTTTCTTTTTTTCTTTCTTTTACGTCTCTATTTATTCCATATGTCATATTTTTTTTGAATTTCATTACATTATAATTTGCCTTTGTTTTTAGATTGTTCACTTTTATAATTTATGATGCATGCCAGGTTTTTCTTTTATAAGTTTATTTCCTTCTTATTTTATTATCTTTTGAATTTCGTCCTTCATCCCTTGGGTGGTGGGGAGTTTCCCCTTCAGAATTTTGTTCCTGGTATTCTTTCTTAACATTTCCATCAAATATTTTTTTTTCTAATCACTATCTTTCTATTCTCGCTGTTTTTTTACAAAAATCTATCTATCTATCTATCTATCTATCTATCTCATTCTATACGAATCTATCTATCTGCACTTACGTGTCTAATAGATTTGGCGGCTTTAATAAATGAAGACTTGGAAAATTATTTAAAAAGTAAAATATTTCTAAATTAATATACGAAACGAATAAGCACGCACGTCGTCGGAAATCATTTTTTTTAAATCGTCTACGCCTCTAATAGTCACTTATATCTATCTATCTATCTATCTATCTATCTATCTATCTATCTATCTATCTTTGTCTCTCTGTATGCCTCTCTGTAACCATATGAATTCATGATTAAAGTACACACACACATACATACATACATACATACATACATACATACATACATATATATATATATATATATATATATATATATATATATATATATATATATATATATATATATATATATACATACATACATACATATATGTATATATTCTCCTTTCGGACCATCTTTAACTTGTCATCATCCAGCAGCACTCTGAAAAGAAGGATTTTTCCAATCTTCTCAAGATGCTTTCGTAAAAAAAAAAAAAATTTCAATGAACTGTGTAAAAATCAACGTCATATTCTGAAGCGTACATCTATCAAGGAAATCATTTTTACGCCATTCTACACATGACCCACGAAACAGAAAGAGGGCAGCGAAGGTTTATGAACGTTTGACCCCCATTATAAAACTAATGCATACGAAATGACTATGTGCCATTCTATGGATTCGTATTTACCTGAAGACGCTCACTCCTCGTATCTGTGGACGTGCTGTTCTTCGCCTCTTTGCCTTCTGTTCAGATTTTCTCGCCTCAGCTTTCTTCGTTGAACTCTAATTTTTATTCTCCAGAGATTCGCACAGTTTCTGTCTTGCATGGTCTCATCTATTTCAACTCGTTTCCGTATACGCTTAATAATCTATCAGTTTGTCTAATTCTATCAGCCTGGCGATGCTTAACAGCCTATTCCCAATTGTTATTAGTGTAGATGTATCAGTTTAGGGAAATCATTTTGTCTCAATTTCTGTTCAATAGTTTGTCTTTCTTAATGATGTTTTTGGTTGAGGATCAAAATCTTAAGAAATTGTGATTTTCAATTATGCTCAACACTCCACACTTAACAGAACGGTTAAAAGTAATCTTCCTCACTGTCATCATTTAATGTATCATTGAAGATCAGCAGGTATAATCAATATATATATATATATATATATATATATATATATATATATATATATATATATTACGGCATATCAACCACAACAGTTTATTTAATGCCATCAAGATATTTATTGCTGGTATTTTTTTTTTTCAATAATGTATTACTGGTAATAAATTGTTGCTGTATTTAAAACCTACTTTTACACAGCCATACTCTTTTGACCCCACTTTGGGTATTAACTATTTGCCCATAGCTGGGATTCTAACAGGTTTCCCCTCCGCGGCTTGGGGTGAATCTGGGAACAGCAGCAATTAAGAGGTGGTTGCACGCTCCTCAAAACCTCTTGATCCGAGGCCTTGCTGCCGGATGTAGTTTATCGTCGTACCCAGGACGCCTGATTTGTATTACCCCTCTGCAGTAATACATTCGGAATATTTCAAAAGTCTGCCTGACATGGCAAATAATAAATTGATGCCTTAAACTTTTTTCAACGATTCAGGTACAATTCATTCTTGATACGCCTCCAAATGACTAATTAACAACTCCAAGTTTCATGTTTGTATTCATCTAGAAGAGAGAAAAGTGTAAAATAGTGCCAAGTTGGTTCAAAGAATGTGCAGTTGTGAATGAAAAGCTTCAATGAGTATCATGCTGTTAAAATACTATATAAATATTATACTCACAAGTCTTGGTTTTCTGAGGTAACTATTCACGTGGATTAATGAGATTTCGTCATTTCATTGAGTTTTTGCCTGCATATAAATTTGGAAGTATAAGCCAAAAACAATGCTATGCTTGCATACATATCGAAGAGAAAAAGGTGTAAAATGGTGCCAACTTGGTGCAAAGAATGTGCATTGTGCATGGAAATCTTAAATGAGTATCATGCTATTAAAAATATTAGATTTAAGAATCTAACATTTTTTTAATATTTCATTAGTTCTTAATTATATATTCTGAAAGACTTAAAATATCAGATTGTACGTTTTGCCGTTAATTAAAGCGAAAAAAGCTTAAAATTAACCTTTTCAGAATTAACCTTCTAGTTGCTTTCCCATGTGCATTTTATATTCGTACAAACATCTCCACTCAGTAAAGGCCAATGTATAATTGTCTCCATATTGATGCATTAATAAAATATTCAATACAAGTGTTGTTAAATATATGGCTATAAAACATTTTCTAATTTATTAGTTTGTATATATAAAACTATTGCTTCCAAAATTTGATCATTTTTGCATGTGCTGAAAACCTGCAAAAATTATCAAACATATTCGATCTCCTTAATCGACCCTCTCGACATCCACTGAGGGAAAAACTTTAGTAGGTATAAGATAATCATCCAAAATGTTCTATGTAAGATGAAATTAAAAGCAAATATCTTAAAATCTGTGTTGCATTTCTCTACATAAGGTCCATCAAGCAAAGGGCATTTCTCTATGCGATGGCACTATTTATATAATACGGAAAGAATTGAAAGACCTGAGGATTTTACCATGTCAAAGCTTCCTTATTTACGTCATCTTAGTTTTAGTTATGTGTCAGGTGTGAACACGCTTAAGCGATCATGTAACTTTCGATACATGATTGATGATGTAGGTTTTTTCCTGCAGTAGTTTGCTATTTCTTTCTGCGGTAAATCAGTTCCTGATCTTCCTTGCTATTTACCCATAGACGAAGGGAGAAGAAGGTATTAACACGTAAAGGAATGTAATGAATTCGACTGGAATTCGAACACGGTTCTCCGATTCCTCAATCCTAACCGCTATCTCTTGCTCCATCGTGCCTCCCCGATTCTCGAAATGGGTGCCTTTCAAAATTTCTATTATTTGTTAGGAAATAAAACAATTCAGAGACTACTAAATCTAATAATTTCCCGGCGAAATTCTTGTAATAATTCCTTTGTTGATGAGAGGATTGGAAAGTGAACTTGTGGTGGTGGAAAAGATTCTCGCTATTTTACTAAATGTGTGGTAATTTTCTCGTAATAAGCGGCAGTTATCTTCATTTACCCCACCTCTAAAATGTCAGATACCATAAGTCCTCAACCTCATAGAAAACCATTACCATGACCATTTCTCTTGGCTGTCTTGGCCTTTTTTTACTAGTCCTTTCTGCATTTAGATTAAGTGCATTTCTTAGCTTAGTCTTCGGTATCGTGCTGGTAAAGTCAAGTTTCATATCCTGTTATAATTCACTATCGAGACTTTGAACCTATTTGTCTAATGCTTCCGTTGCAAACTTTGATTTTGTCTGTTGCTGACCTGAGCGCATCAGTTATGTTTCCAAACTGTTATAATGTTTGCTTAGCTTTCATATTTAAGATATATTGGGATTAGTTATAATTTTTGCTATAAATTCTTGCTCAACGTCAATTAAATCTAAAAAACGATCGAATTTCCTCTCACAGACTGAAGATGATGGCATGCCAATGCATATCGTCTCGTCCTTCCTTGAACCGATTTACACATTACTCATTTTTTTATTTTTTCGCGACATGATCTCTATATTTCTCAAAGTATCAATAATTTCCACAGTCTTCCAACCAAAATTGACAGTACATTTTATACCAGTTCTTGCTTCAATTGTAACAATCTTTATGGCTGCTCTAAAGAGTGCTGATTTTAAACTGACGCAAAATTCAATACGTTAACTCTAAATACAGTTCACAGAGCTTATATCACATGAGGCTACGTTCACTTAACAACCAATAAATATCAAAATATTTACAATTTTTTTCATATACATCAGATGATATTTCTACAATTTTTTTTGAATGCCCCTTGTAAAATCAAGGCGTCTTTTTCATACATGTAGGCATTCTGAAGTTTTCAACTAAAATAATATATTAACTTCCAGCACGAGAAGAGATCCTGATGCGTCATTCTTTCAAATGATGACAGTGAACCTACATTAAAAATCAGATTTCGAAATATTTAAATTTTACTTAGGTTCGACTATATCAGACACCAAGAATACGTAACGGATAAACTTTGCGGCTGTCTTAATACAAGTTAATGGAAATACATTATTTCTGCTCATAAGATCTATATCGGCTGCATGCATCCAGTTACGAAAGTAATTTGTGCAAATTTCATTCAGACTTCATTTAAGAAAACCTAATCATCAAGCGAGATAAGTGTAGTTAAAACATTGAATTTTTTAACGCACCATAAAATATTCTCACTTATGCTATTTATGGCTCTAAACAAACGACACGGAGGAGTAGATACTAATCAGTACCGGAAGATAATATAGCGCCAACCAGACATGTGCAACTGTATATGCTTTCAAATATATAGTTTTTTGGGGGGTTTTGTGTTGCTATGCGTGTGTGCGCGTGTGTTTTAAATGTCATAGTAAAAATACGTTTTTATAATATCCCTTTTATATAGATTTTAATATATATGAAATGGAAAAAGATCAAAAAATAACTGTATTCCATTTAATCAGCTAATAGAATTCTGAGAATGAAAATATCTAATCATTTTCTTCAATGAAAATGGTTTTGCAATTCAAAAGGCTTCCACGTTTGTTTCTCAAAGAAAAGGATAATGGTGTTTGTCCTCTATGTATGAAAACCTTTTAGGTAATGTGCTTTTGTTTAGTACATTAATGTTTTTTAGTTTCCCATTTTCGGCTTACGGCCATATCATGTCAAAACACCGGTGTCCGTACAGTCACTGAATTTAAGAAACGTCACGCAAAATCAGTATCTAGAGGGGTGGCCGCTTGGGAATACCAAGTTCTGTAACCTCGGGCATTGGTGTAATGGATAACGGCTCGGAAGTGGAAATCAGGGAACGAGTTTCGTGGAATTAACATGGGAGGAGGTATGAATTTATATCTTCACCCCGCCGACGATGGGTTAATTAGTAATACTTCTATGAGTAATTCATTCTTATACCCAAATTCTTACAACATAAAACATATTTGATGGCTTTAAACAACTTCAAAAATGTTGATAAGCCGTAAAAAGTAATCTCCACGTATTCGATTTTTATATCATAGTATGAAAGAACCACTTTATCTCTACCTGTTTCTTTCATCATCTACACCCATACATATATAGTGATTTTCCAAGCGCGGCTTGGATGTGGCACAAAGCCGAAAGTAAGGG